GACGTCTCAGGCGGGGCGCTGGTTTCAGCCCCCCTAAGGGGAGCCGCCAAATGGTATGACACGGTCCCGTTCGCACCAATTGTGCGGGGATGTCTCAAAGCGGTTTGCCTGTTTTCTGTCCCGACATTTTTCGCTTGGGGGGCATGTTGTGAGGATGTCTCAGGCGGGGCGTTGGTTTCAGCACCCCTAAGGGAGCCGCCGAGGGTCCCGTTCGCGGCCGTCTTGAGGGGATGTCTCTAGCGGTTTGCCGGTTTCCTGTTTCAGCATCCTTCGCTTGGAGAGCAGATTGTGAGGATGTCTCAGGCGGGGCGCTGGTTTCAGCACCCCTAAGGGGTGCCGCCGGCGGGTATGGCACGGTCCTGTTCGCGGCCGTTTTGTGTGGATGTCTCAAGCGGTTTGCTTGTGTTCTGTCTCAGCATTTTTTGCTTGGGGAGCAGATTGTGAGGATGTCTCAGGCGGGGCGCTGGTTTCAGCACCCCTAAGGGGGGCCGCCGAGGGGCATGACACGGTCCGTTCACGGCTGTTTTGTGGGGATGTGTCAGGCGTTTTTTTTTTTGTTCTTCTGTCTCAACATCCTTCGCTTGGAGAGCAGTTTGTGAGGATGTCTTAGGCGGGGCGCTGGTTTCAGCACCCGTAAGGGGAGCCGCCAAGGGTGTTTTTCAGTGCTGTGAACAGACGCTCACGTAGACGCACTCTTATAACAAAACTATCATAGACATATGTTCACCTCTGTACTACCATGCAGTATGATATGCACATATGGCTCATATGGCTAGACGCTCATTTTAAAATTCCAACTACAACATTTCTTTTTTAAAAAGGATGCACATTTGGGGAACTCCACGCAGTGAGTAATTACTAGTTGGGCGCCTCCTACGCCTTCATCATATTATTATTCTCCTCCTCATATTCGGCCTTGCTCATACTCCGATTTGCTCATGCTGAGACCCACTCATACCCAGGATTGCTCATACCCAGACTCGTTCCCAAGCGTGTTCATACACAGACTTGCTCCTACTCAGACCTACTCATTCTCAGACTTTCACACACATAGACCTACTCATACACAGACTTATTCAACACACAGCAGGTTGTCAGAATGTCTCAGTCGGGGCGATGGTTTCAGCACCTCCGAGGGGAGCCGCCAGGGTTGTTTTCACGGTCCTGTTCGCGGCCGTTTCGCGTGGATGTCTCAAGCGGTTTGCCTGTTTTCTGCCTCAACATCCTTGGCTATCAGTGCAGATTCTCATGATGTCTCAGGCGGGGCGCTGGTTTCAGCACCAATCAGGGCAGCCGCCGGGAGTGTTTCATGGTCCCAGTCGCAACCATTGTGTGGGAATGTCTCAAGCGGTTTGCTTGTTTTCTGCTATCATAGCAGCTTGTGAGGATGTCTCAGGCGGGGCGCTGGTTTCAGCACCCCTAAGGGGAGCCGCCAGGAGTGTTTTCACGGCCCCGCTCGAAGCAATTTTACTGGGATGTCTCAAGCGGTGTGCTTGTTTTCTGTTTCATGTTCTGTCTCAACATCCTTGATTCTCAGAGCATGTTCTAATAATGTTACAGGCGGTGCGCTGGTTTGAGCAACCCCCAGGTGAGCCGCCAGGGATGTTTTCACGGTCCCGTTTGCAGCAATTTTGCGAGGATGTCTCAAGCGGTCAGCTTGCTTTCTGTTTCAACATCCTTGGCTACCAGAGCAGATTCTGAGGATGTCTCAGGCGGGGCGCTGGTTTCAGCACCCTCAAGGGGTGCCGCCAAGGGGTATGACACGGTCCCGTTCGCGGCCGTTTTGTGGAGATGTCTCAAGCGGTTTGCCGGTTTTCTGTCTCAATATCCTGCGCTTGGAGAGCAGATTGTGAGGATGTCTCAGGCGGGGCGCTGGTTTCAGCACCCTTCAGGGGAGCCGCCAGGAGTGTTTTCACGGTCCCGTTCGCAGCAACTGTGTTGGGATGTCTCTAGCGGTTTGCTTGTTTTCTGTCTCAGCATCCTTCGTTTGGACAGCAGATTGTGAGGTTGTCTCAGGCGGGGCGCTGGCTTCAGCACCCGTAAGGGGAGCCGCCAAGGGTGCTTTCACGGCTCCGCTCGTCGCCGTTCTGTGGGGATGTCTCCAGCGGTTTGCCAGTTTTTCTGCTTTTGCGTTGTGCCCCGAGTGGCTCTCCCCGTTGGTATGTTCACCATAGCACTACCCTACAATATGAGATGCACACATGGTTCATATGGCTAGACGCTCATCCATTCATATGGCTAGACGCTCATCCAAATACCCCAAACTACAATATGTCTTTTAAAACTGTTGCGCATATGGGGAGCTCCGCGCAGTGAGTACACTATACAGGCGCATTAAAAATTGAGGCTTATCAAGTGGATCGGCAAGGTGGTCACGCGGATCGCGCGGAACAGAGTTGAGCGCGTTCAACTAAGGCAGGGCAACATGCATATTTGCATACGCGTGCACATCTACATACATATAGATTCACGTGTACAGATCGGTGGGCCCAGTGCGCACGTAGTAAAACAGGATTGGGAGCCTGCGGCGCGCCCCAGCCGTCGCCGGCACCGCCGGGGCATCCAGAGCACAGACAAGCGCCGTCACCGCTGCAACAGCAGCACTTCGGAGACCCTGAGTGGGTGTCCGACATACCCTGTGAGTGAACAGCGTGCTTCAGCGAGGATGTCGCGCGCTCGCCGGCGACGCAAAATATTCCATTGGAGGCTTTCAAGCACAACGCGCGCGCAACATACTCCAACAACACACCCCGCCGATTTCAAATTTTCACGAAGTGCCTCCCGCTGATTCAAAGGGCCATGAGATATGCCAAAAGTACGTCCCGCAGATTTCACGCATTCAACAAATGCGAACTTCCCGAGAATGCCCCGAATATGCTCCAGCGCCATCTGCGAAACTTCCAGATACTCCAGATATACTCCAGTGCCATCTGCGAAATTCTAGAGGTGTTCCAAAGCTAACTCCAGTGCCATCTTCGATATTTAAAGATACCCCAGTGCAGTGTCCGGATGTTTTTCATGTTCCAACGATGCCCCAGTGCATCTTACGAATTTTAGGAACACCCCAAATACACACCCTAGCCATTTGCAACATTTCAAAATACTCCAGATATTTTTTCCCGCGGCGATCTCAGAGGTTTCAAGAAATGCCCTATGAGATGCTCGCCGACGATGTGCGAGACATCAAAACACTTCAGGACGCAGTGTGTGTGTGTGTGACCATTTCGACAATTCCAAGTCATCCAGGGGATGGCCCTGCGTGTCTTCCGGAAAGTGCTACCTTGAAGTGGGCGCCGAGGCCGTTCTTCGAGAACGCGCAAATCTTATAGCAGTGCCCCCCCCTTTCGCCCGAAATCGCGCCGCTGCGGCGTATAATGCAGTGGGTTCGCTAGCGGTTCAGATGCCCTGCGTCGGGGTTGCCAAACGCGCGACGCGCGCTGCTGATGCGGTACTCCCGTGGGCTCCATAGCGTAACGCAATGTTGCCGAGCGCGTGTCGTCCGGCGCCGCAGCAGCGTCGCGCCTTCATTGTGCGTGCCCGATCCCGCTGGGGGGCTGGCTCTCAACGCGCGCGCATCAAACATGTGATGCGTGGCACGCGCGTTACGCAGCTTCCACGCGGAAGCAGGGCAAGACTTTTGCATCCATTTTCTGATCCAGTTTTCCCGCGCGTCCGCCCTCGTTTCGATGGACAATCATTTGCACATGGGGACGGAGGGGGGAGGAGGACGTGGGGGAGGAGGACCGGTCGATCTGTCGATCGTAAGATGGATCGATCGACCGATCGAAAAAATCGGACGAGCTTGCGGCGTTCCGCCAGCCCCCACGGACTTTTTTTTGCGGCGCCTTTCGTTTGCCATCTGGTCGCGTTTCGATCAACGGTTGCCCTTGGGTCGTCTACGCGTTTGGATTGGTCGTTTTTTGGTGGCTCCCCTCGCGTGCCCTCAGGGCACATGTTGCGTCTGTCGCTTGTCTTCGTGGTGGGCCCACTGGCAACGAATCGCGTGGAGTCGGCTGAGTGCGCAGAAGTGTCGGTTCGCTCTCGCACGAACGCGAAGCCATTGAATGTGTTTCGAATTTCTCTTGTAACGAAGTTCACGCAGCCATAGTTTACGCGGCGTTGAAAAGGTACTCCCTTTGTCTTGCGCGCAGGGCGCTGTGTATTTTACGCGCGCCGACCCACGCAGGGGGGAAATCGCGAAAACAAGACAATCCTCCAGCATGGATCGTGGTTTGTCCGATGTGTTTGCGGGGTTTCCAAGGTAAACTTACGATGTCTTCTATCATCATAGAAAAAATATCTTCTGACCCCCAGAAGTCTGGACCCCTTTCCCGGGGCCGGCTTTTCATCCCAAGTCGTTGTTTGATGGTCCCGCGGCCCGGCAAGGGCCCCCAGAAGCAGAAAATATAGAAAAACATCCCGTCGCGATTCCCCAACCAGTGCTTGCATTGAGGGGGTTCTTAGCGGATGTTGAAGGATTTAGCGAAAGTGCCCGGCCGATTTCGGTAGGCGGCCAGGTTCCCGGATTCCCGCTTCCTTGTTGCTGCTGCTAGTTTTGGGCCGATTTCGGTGGGCGGTGGGTTTCCCGGGCTTCAGGGTTCCAGGGTTCCTGGTCGATCTCTTTGTCGATCGGTCTCACCGTCGATCCCATGATCCATGTTTAAAAAAGATCCCAATATCGATTTCACAGTCGACTTCGTTGACGATCGTACAATCGATCCCAATACAGACCGCACGAAAGATTGCACGATCGATCTCACTGTCGACCTCTCTGGATCGACTGCGCTATCGGTTTCACGATCGACCTTGCAATCGTCTTCGCGATCGATCCCACTATCGATCTCATTATCGATTTCGCCATCGATTTTAAGCATCCATATTATATCACTGATTCTCAAACCATCCACTGATTGGGGCATTCCTTCGGTATATTTGTTTCACAGCGCGAAGGGGGACTGGGACCGTCGAGTCCAGTCGTGGGCGGGGGCCGCGACGGGCAGGCCGCGCTCTACGCGGAGGGGACGGACCCCAACGCGCCCGCGACCGCCGCGGACCCCCGCCGCGCCGCGCTTCCGGGCTCGAGTTGTGGAGGACGTTCAATGGAGAGGATGCATGCTGCCAAATAATTTCCAGATGTCTACAAGACGTTTCAAACATGTTTAACATACGTAAAAAAACATGCCTGAAACATGTTAAGAACATGCTTTACACGTTTTAAACACATCTTAACGTCAATGATCGGATTGTCCGAGTGCCTATTGTCATGGCATCCACAAGCCTCGAGCGCCGACGCGCGGGGTAGGAAGCGGCCAAGCTTTTCGGCGAGCTCGAGCGGCGGCGGGGGCCCTGCTCTCCACTCGGCGGCGCGCCCGGAGGGGGGTCGGGTTGTTCGCAGTCTCGGGTCCGAGGTCTTCGGGCGTTTGCGTGTAGTTTCCTGGCGGTTTTCCGCCCTCGGGATGCGCTTCAGCGGCTGCGCCTCGCCGAGAGCGTTCCGGGGGTGGCCTGGTCGTCCTGACCGGCCATCGGAGAGTCGAGGCATGACCCCAAGATCAGAGTCGGCGGCGCGCTCGGGGGGGGGAAGTGAGAAAGAGAGGGCCGGTATCAGAAGGCGGCGGGGCTTCTCAGAAGCCCTCCGGCCTTCGGAGAAGTCTTCTGTGTCTTCGGGGAGAGGTTATGGCATTTTTCTCAAGGCCAGGGGACTTCCGAGCCTTCTGAGAAGGCCCGCCCCTTCTCACTTCCCCCCCACGCTCGCCGCCGATCCACCCTCCCTTTCGACCCCTGAGATCTCTCGGCGTTGCACTTTTCCGCACCGGGCGTTTTCGCCCTTCAGTCAAGACGCAGAGATAGGGACCTCGTTGGGTTCGGAGAGGACTCGCTGTTCCTTGGACCGTTCCGTGGTCGTTCCTCTAGCCCTCCTCGTGCACCAGGGCTCCTGTGGTGCCAACAAAAAGGGGGTCGTTTCTTATGTAGCGTTCCTTATTGCAGCAGCTCGGCTGTATCTCGGGCCACAGGGCCCTTGCAGATCGCTCCGGCTCGGAAAACATACATCCGCAAGAGGGGGTCTGGGGCTCGGGTCGCGATCGTGATGCTGCTCGATTTGTTTAGCGACGTCGGATCTCGCTGGGAGGCCCCTCTCCCTCCAGACATGTGACATGTGCTCGAATCGTGGAAAAATCACGACGGACGGTTTGACTGCTTTCGGCCTCCAGGGGCCCTCGCCGGCCCCGGGGCCGTCCAGACAGCTCGGGATGGAAATCGGGTCACGGGAAGAGTGTCGGGACCTCCAGGAGCCCCGTCTTGAAGACACGAAGACGTATGATGTCTGGGCCCTGGGACACAAATCAATAGATACAAATAACAGGACTCCCTATATTTTTTCATATTTTCTGGGTTTTTGTCTTCCCCCCACTTCCTATATTTTCCTATATTTTCTGGGGAATCGACCATTCAGTGTGTTTGAGTGTGTGTGTTTTCCCTCCTGAGATGCCTGGGCCCCTACCCTTCGACCGATGGCGCTCGAGGACGGGAACTTCGGGGGGCCCCGGGGGCGGGGGCCTGGCAGGCGGGGGCGCTGCCTTGATCCCGGGGGTGGGGGGGGGGGAGGGCGACGGATCGAGAGCGGCTGGAGCCGTGGGTGCAGTCGCTATGGGATGCCAGAGTCGCCCCGTTGCGCAGGAGCCCCTTGCACCAGGCCGTGGGTGGCTCGATTTTCACCCGGGCAGCCGCCCTCCTCCGACCCCCGACGCAGGAAGGTGAGGAGCAGTAGACGGGAGGGGAGGACAGCGATGCAACCTCAGATCTTCCTCCCTCCTCCCCCCTCCCTCCTCCCTTCGCAGTCCTTCTGCTGACTCTTCCTTCTCCCTCGCCTTTTCCCTCATCGTCCTTCTCTTCGTCACACTTTCCCCTTATGGGGAGAAGGACCAGTGGTGGATGAAGGAGGAAGGAGGAGGAAGAGCAGAAGAAGGGAGAGGAGGAGGAAGAGGAGTAGGAAGAGGACGAGGAGGAGGAGGACATGGATATGGAGGAGAAGGGGGAGGAGGGGGTGCCACCCCTCTCCCCCCCAACGGGACAGCGGTCACCGCGGCCGCCATTTCAACAGTCTGCAGTGGGCATGCCTCAGAACTGCCTTTTATTATCCTTACGTATTCACATATATATATATATATATATATATATCGTCATGTGCACACCCACACGCAGAACTATCATAACCATGATAGTTCTGCGTTCTGCAGTGCTGCGCCGACTACTGCGCACGCCGATGGCAGTCGGTCATCAGTGTGATCAAAAACCTACGACTGATGTGTGGTGAACAATGTCCAGACTCCCCTTGGGATCTGTCCGAGGACCTTGCAATACAATTGGGCCTTGCCATCTGAGCAAGTACAGCAAACAGCATGATCAAATTATCCCGAGGGGCCACAGCGCCCTCGAAGAAGTCTTCGGCCAGAGCACCTGCAAGTGCTGTATGTTCAATGTTCTATATCGGTGAACGTGTCG